GGGAATGAGAGCGTATGAGAGTGGGTGAGAGGGAATGAGAGCGTATGAGAGTGGGTGAGAGGGAATGAGAGCGTTTGAGAGTGGGTGAGAGGGAATGAGAGTGTATGAGAGTGGGTTAGAGGGAATGAGAGCATATGAGAGTGGGTGAGAGGGAATGAGAGCGTATGAGAGTGGGTGAGAGGGAATAAGAGCGTATGAGAGTGGGTGAGAGGGAATGAGAGCGTATGAGAGTGGGTGAGAGGGAATGAGAGCGTATGAGAGTGGGCGAGAGGGAATGAGAGCGTATGAGAGTGGGTGAGAGGGAATGAGAGCGTATGAGAATGGGTTAGAGGGAATGAGAGTGTATGAGAGTGGGTGAGAGGGAATGAGAGGGTATGAGAGTGGATGAGAGGAAATGAGAGCGTATGAGAGTGGGTGAGAGGGCATGAGAGCGTATGAGAGTGGTTGAGAGGGAATTGTTATGTGATGCTATCATTTGCATTCACGTCTGTCTGCCTCCCATCATGTGTTCGTGCGTTGCATGTGTGAAATGAGCGTGCGCAAGAATTTGTGTTTTTCTGTGGTTTGGATTTTCTGTGTATGTGTGAATGTTATTTGGCTTGAGCAGATATCTGAAGTGACTCCACTGCTCAAGATCTTTCCGACGAGCCAAGAATCGTCGCGATCGGAGCAATATCAAGAAAGTTACGAACGTTGGAGTTCGTATGCTTTCTGTACTTCGGTTGTGGCGACTATGGGAAGTTGTGGGGTTGACTCAATATGGGGTACAGACTTTTGGGGGTTGGGAATTCGAACCCATCACTGTAGAATGCTGCCATGTGGTTGGGTGAAGCCAAACCAGGTTGGCAAGTGTGGCCAAGTGGGTTGAGGTGGATGGCATGAGTTGGGAAAGTGACAAATGTGAAAGTGGGGTTGCCTATGGGGAAGGGAATTGTGTGGCATGGGGTTTCCTTGGTTGGGGAATCTCTTGGGACCTTCCCTCTCGTCCTCCTCTTCCCTCCTACCAGGTTTAGTGCTACCCTAACTCTCTTGTGTGCAACTCTTGTGAACTTGTGAAACTATTGTGAGTGAATTTAATTTCTATGTGGCAGCATACCCCCTGGTGCGCCGAGAAACATAACTCGAGATTTACTCCACCTTTCGATACGATTCAAATTGCGAATGATAGCCACGGACAAGGGCTATAACATACTCGAGTTTGAGACGATTCTAACGGTGCAATTTTCGTCGACAACGTTTCTCGTGAAGTCGCAGTTTCTGTCCAGAATTTCAAGCCAACGATTTTGAGAATTTTAGCCACCTAATCTTCGTAGACTCCATCCTTAGTCTCTAACAAGTGGTATCAGAGCTGATTAAGGACTTTGTGGAGAGTCTACTGAAGTGTGAAGACCCTCCTAGACCCACCATGGCCTGTGGGCGTGCCTAAGTGGAGTTCTGGAGGTTGGATGTGACTTCCGCTAAGGGGAAACTCTGCCGAAATTTCGTTGGCGCCGTCACTTGTGAAGATTGTGTGGATCTACATTGTGACCAGCAAAGGGGGGAGCTGAAACCTCTGATTGGGAGCAGAGGAGATGAATCAAGGGAGTGGAGATGCAGCTGAGAAGAGGAGTGAACCGCCACCATCCAAGATCGAAGCTTTGGATGGCTCCAACTACGAGGAATGGAGCGGGCGGATGCGGAGCGCCTTCAAGCGTTACAAGCTGCTGAAAATTGCAATGGGAGAAGAGAAAATGCCGGAGGAAGGTGATGCCCGCGACAAATGGATTGAGAAGAGCGCGGTGCTGTACGACCTAATCCTTCAATCGGTCAACAATGATATGTTCCAGCATATCAAGGACCTAGTGGAGCTGGACGACTCCGGGCCTAAGGCGTGGAAGCTGCTACGCGATGTGGTACAACCCAACACGCTGCCGATGGTGATCGTAATGGAGAAGGAGCTGGCTGCTCTCTCCATGAAGGCGGGAGACGATGTGAAACTGGTCCTTGACAAGATCAAGGACACCCATGCGAGGATGGCAGCGGCGGGCAGCAAGGTGTCGGAGAAGCAGCAGTGCACCAAGATCATCTCGGTGCTCGACAACTCGTGGGACAACCTCATCCCCACCCTCAACGTTCAGCAGGACAAATGGACGCCTGAGTGGCTACGGCAGCAGATCCTGCAGGAGGACTTCCGCAGGCGCCACACTGGAGGTGGTGCTGCCAACAAAACTGCTGAGGGGTATGGAGCTGCAGGAGGCAGCAGAGGGAGAGGGGGAGGGAGAGGCCGAGGCCGTGGGAGAGGCTTTGGCAGAGGAAGAGGCCGAGGTGACTACAACGAGGGGCATGGGAGCTCTGGTGGCAAGGGGAGTACCCGAATGGAGGGTGCGTGCTGGTACTGCAAGAAGGCTGGACACCCATGGTTCAAGTGTTTCAGGCGGCCTGAAGGATGGGCGCCTCCAGGCATGAAGCCGCCAAGTGGTGAACGTGCACGAGGTGGTGCTGTGCAAGGTTCAGGTGCACAAGGTGATGGTGCACAAGGTAAAGCTGACCCTGGTATGTTCCTCATGGTTGAGGACATGCAAGGGAGTGGGGGTGATGTGGGTTCAGTTGGGAAGGTTGTGATGCACCCCCTCACTCACTGGGTGATCGATTCAGGTTGCACAAGTCACATGACTCCACGGGCAGATTTGCTTGATGAGGTGAAGCCCCCTGGGAAGATAAAGTTTGTGGCTGCCGCTTCAGGTGCCTTGCTCCCTGTGATTGGTGTTGGGAATGCCAAGGTTATGGGAGCTAATGGGGGGCTTGTGGGGCTGGGAAATGTGCTGTTGGTTGAAGGTTTATCCGCTAATCTCCTCTCTGTGCGCCGACTGCAGAAAAGCAAGGCCAAAGTTACGTTCGGCCCAACCAGCTGCCGTGCAAAGCTTGGGAAGTTGCTGCTGTGGGATTTGGAGGAGAAGAGCAGCTGCATCAAGGACCTGTGGCAGCTGCCCATCATCCCTTGGAATGGGAAACCTCCAGCAACGGCAAAGGCAGCGGCAGCGGCTAAAGCAACTGCGGGAGGAGAGGAGACTGCACCAACTGCTGGGGCCCTGGATGCAGTCAAGAAGGTGCAGCAGCCACAGCAATCACATGGTGAGGTGCTTGCTGGTGTGGATGCAACGGCTGCATGGGCAAAGGCTTCTTCTGGGAGTGGTGAGGCCGATTGGGAGACGTGGCACGAGAGGTTGTGCCACATCAACATTCCGATGCTGCAGAAATTGGTGAAGGATGGAAACCTGAAGGGATTGGAGGTGAAGGGGGCAGCAAGGGAGATTGGGAGCTGCCCTACATGCCTTGAGACCAAGTTCACGAAGTTTCCCTTCAGCAGCAGCACGGGACAAGCGAAGGCTCCACTTGCACTTGTGCACATGGACGTGGTGGGCCCCACGAGGGCCCCTTCTCTCTCGGGCAGCCGCTATTTCCTGACCATTGTGGATGACCACACACGTGTGGTGTGGGTCTACCCTCTCAAGACTAAGGGGGAGGTGGCAGCGGCTGTTCTCAAGGAGTGGATGCCGAGAGCACAAAGGGAGAGCGGACACAAAGTGAAGGTGATCCGCACCGACAATGGGGGAGAGTTCATTGGCGCTGTTTTTGAGGCGGTGCTGAAGAAGAAGGGGATCCAGCATCAGCTCACGGTGCCCTACAACCCTCAGCAGAACGGCGTGGCTGAGCGGTTCAACCGGACCCTGCAGGAAGGTGCTCGCACTCTCCTTGGGCGTGCAGGGCTGCCGGATCCGTTTTGGGTGACTGCACTACGGCAGGTCGTTGTGGTGAAGAACAGGGTGCTCGCAACTGTGGGGGACAAGCAGTGGGTGCCTTACACCAAGTGGTATGGGAGTGCACCAGCAGTCAACATGCTGAGAGCCTACGGCTGCATGGTGGTGTTTCATGTGCCGAAGGAGAAGAGGGGAAAGTTGGAAGCTTCTGGAAGATGGGGTGTGCACTTGGGACTTGCGAAGGACCACAAGGGCTGGCTCATATGGGACTTGACCAGCCAGCAGCTGACTGTGTCAAGGGACGTGAAGTTCCTGGAGTCCTTGTACTACAAGGAGTGGAAGCAGCAGCAGCAGAAGCTTCCTACGACACCGCTGATCGTTGAGGCCGATGAGATGCAGCGGCCTTCGAGGCAAGTGGAGGTTGCCATCTCAGAGGAGGAGATCTCTGGGGTGACTGAGGATGGGGGAGAACCCGAGGTGGAGGAGCAGCAGCAGCAGCAGCCGCAGCAGCAGCAGCAGCCACAGCAGCAGCAGCAAGATGCTCCACAAGGTGCCGCACGTCCGGCTGACCGTCCTAGGAGGGATGTGCGCCCTCCTAACCGGCTGACCTATGCGAGCCGTGGCACGCCAAGTGTGGTACCGGCTGGAAGTGTGGCTGAACAGATGGATGAGGATGAGATAGCGTATTGCTATGGAGCTGCAATGAGATGGTTTGGTGGATAGTGTTTTGAAACAGACGCTGCAGAGTGTGCTACAGATTTGAGCAAAGAGGAGATGTTGGAAGTGGGATGTTGGAAGGAGATGATTGTCCATTGAGATGAGTGTTGGAAGTGAATGAAGCTTGTGGGAATGAGTGTGCATTGAGGGTGCATGCTTGAGCTATGGCATGTGGGATGATGGTTGGCAGCCAGAGGGGGAGTTTGTTATGTGATGCTATCATTTGCATTCACGTCTGTCTGCCTCCCATCATGTGTTCGTGCGTTGCATGTGTGAAATGAGCGTGCGCAAGAATTTGTGTTTTTCTGTGGTTTGGATTTTCTGTGTATGTGTGAATGTTATTTGGCTTGAGCAGATATCTGAAGTGACTCCACTGCTCAAGATCTTTCCGACGAGCCAAGAATCGTCGCGATCGGAGCAATATCAAGAAAGTTACGAACGTTGGAGTTCGTATGCTTTCTGTACTTCGGTTGTGGCGACTATGGGAAGTTGTGGGGTTGACTCAATATGGGGTACAGACTTTTGGGGGTTGGGAATTCGAACCCATCACTGTAGAATGCTGCCATGTGGTTGGGTGAAGCCAAACCAGGTTGGCAAGTGTGGCCAAGTGGGTTGAGGTGGATGGCATGAGTTGGGAAAGTGACAAATGTGAAAGTGGGGTTGCCTATGGGGAAGGGAATTGTGTGGCATGGGGTTTCCTTGGTTGGGGAATCTCTTGGGACCTTCCCTCTCGTCCTCCTCTTCCCTCCTACCTGGTTTAGTGCTACCCTAACTCTCTTGTGTGCAACTCTTGTGAACTTGTGAAACTATTGTGAGTGAATTTAATTTCTATGTGGCAGCATACCCCCTGGTGCGCCGAGAAACATAACTCGAGATTTACTCCACCTTTCGATACGATTCAAATTGCGAATGATAGCCACCGACAAGGGCTATAACATACTCGAGTTTGAGACGATTCTAACGGTGCAATTTTCGTCGACAACGTTTCTCGTGAAGTCGCAGTTTCTGTCCAGAATTTCAAGCCAACGATTTTGAGAAATTTAGGCTCCTAATCTTCATAGACTCAGTCCTTAGTCTCTAACAGGAATGAGAGCGTATGAGAGTGGATGAGAGGGAATGAGAGCGTATGAGAGTGGGTTAGAGGGAATGAGAGCGTATGAGAGTGGGTAAGAGGGAATGAGAGCGTGAGAGAGTGGGTGAGAGGGAATGAGAGCGTATGAGAGTGGGTGAGAGGGAATGAGAGCGTATGAGAGTGGGTGAGAGGGAATGAGAGCGTATGAGAGTGGGTGAGAGGGAACGAGAGCGTATGAGAGTGGGTGAGAGGGAATGAGAGCGTATGAGAGTGGGCGAGAGGGAATGAGAGCGTATGAGAGTGGGTGAGAGGGAATGAGAGCGTATCAGAATGGGTTAGAGGGAATGAGAGTGTATGAGAGTGGGTGAGAGGGAATGAGAGCGTAAGAGAGTGTGTGAGAGGGAATGAGAGGGTATGAGAGTGGGTGAGAGGGAATGAGAGCGTATGAGTGTGGGTGGGAGGAAATGAGAGCGTATGAGATTGGGTGAGAGGGAATGAGAGGGTATGAGAGTGGGTGAGAGGGACGGAGAGCGTATGAGATTGGGTGAGAGGGAAAGAGAGCGTGAGAGAGTGGGTGAGAGGGAATGAGAGGGTATGAGAGTGGATGAGAGGAAATGAGAGCGTATGAGAGTGGGTGAGAGGGAATGAGAGCGTATGAGAGTGGTTGAGAGGGAATGATTGCGTATGAGAGTGGGTGAGAGGGAATGAGAGCGTATGAGAGTGGGTGAGAGGGAATGAGAGCGTATGAGAGTGGGTGTGGGGGAATGAGAGCGTATGAGAGTGGGCGAGAGGGAATGAGAGCGTATGAGAGTGGGTGAGAGGGAATGAGAGCGTATCAGAATGGGTTAGAGGGAATGAGAGTGTATGAGAGTGGGTGAGAGGGAATGAGAGCGTAAGAGAGTGGGTGAGAGGGAATGAGAGGGTATGAGAGTGGGTGAGAGGGAATGAGAGCGTATGAGTGTGGGTGGGAGGGAGTGAGAGCGTCTGAGATTGGGTGAGAGGGATTGAGAGGGTATGAGAGTGGGTGAGAGGGACGGAGAGCGTATGAGATTGGGTGAGAGGGAAAGAGAGCGTGAGAGAGTGGGTGAGAGGGAATGAGAGGGTATGAGAGTGGATGAGAGGAAATGAGAGCGTATGAGAGTGGGTGAGAGGGAATGAGAGCGTATGAGAGTGGTTGAGAGGGAATGAGAGCGTATGAGAGTGGATGAGAGGGAATGAGAGCGTATGAGAGTGGGTTAGAGGGAATGAGAGCGTATGAGAGTGGGTGAGAGGGAATGAGAGCGTGAGAGAGTGGGTGAGAGGGAATGAGAGCGTGAGAGAGTGGGTGAGAGGGAATGAGAGCGTATGAGAGTGGGTGAGAGGGAATGAGAGCGTATGAGAGTGGGTGAGAGGGAATGAGAGCGTTTGAGAGTGGGTGAGAGGGAATGAGAGCGTATGAGAGTGGGTTAGAGGGAATGAGAGCATATGAGAGTGGGTGAGAGGGAATGAGAGCGTATGAGAGTGGGTGAGAGGGAATAAGTGTTAGAGACTAAGGACGGAGTCAATGAAGATTAGGAGCCTAAATTTCTCAAAATCGTTGGCTTGAAATTCTGGACAGAATCGTCGAGTTCACAAGAAACGTCGTCGGCTAAACTTGCACTGTTGGAATTGTCTCAAACTCGAGTATGTTGTAGCCTGTAACCAGGGCTATCTTTCCCAATTTGAATCGTATCAAATGGCGGAGTAAATCTCGAGTTATGATTTTCGGCGCACTAGGGGGTATGCTGCCACATGCTTAACTCAATCACAATGGTTCTCACAAGTTCCACAAAGTTACACACAAGAGAGTTAGGGTAGCACTAAACCAGGTAGGAGGGAAGAGGAGGACGAGAGGGAAGGTCCCAAGAGATTCCCCAACCAAGGAAACCCCATGCCACACAATTCCCTTCCCCATAGGCAACCCCACTTTCACATTTGTCACTTTCCCAACTCATGCCATCCACCTCAACCCACTTGGCCACACTTGCCAACCTGGTTTGGCTTCACCCAACCACATGGCAGCATTCTACAGTGATGGGTTCGAATTCCCAACCCCCAAAAGTCTGTACCCCATATTGAGTCAACCCCACAACTTCCCATAGTCGCCACAACCGAAGTACAGAAAGCATACGAACTCCAACGTTCGTAACTTTCTTGATATTGCTCCGATCGCGACGATTCTTGGCTCGTCGGAAAGATCTTGAGCAGTGGAGTCACTTCAGATATCTGCTCAAGCCAAATAACATTCACACACACACTCAGAAAATCCAAACCACAGAAAAACAAAAATTCTTGCGCACGCTCATTTCACACATGCAACGCACGAACACATGATGGGAGGCAGACAGACGTGAATGCAAATGATAGCATCACATAACAAACTCCCCCTCTGGCTGCCAACCATCATCCCACATGCCATAGCTCAAGCATGCACCCTCAATGCACACTCATCCCAGCAAGCTTCATGCCCTTCCAATGCTCAGATTCAGCCAGGCGCTTGGTGAGAATGTCAGCCGCCTGCTGATGGGTCTTCACAATCTCCAGCCGCACCTCCTTGTCCAGGAGCCTTCTCACCCAGTGCCACTTAGGCCTGATGTGTTTGGTCAGCCCATGAAGACAAGCATTCTTCGCAAGCTTCACCGCCGACTCATTGTCACAGAAAATCACAGTCGGCTCCCTTTGACCAACCCAAATCTCCTCTAGCAAACGCCTCAGCCACACCACCTCCTTTGCCCCATGATGAAGGGCCATGTACTCTGTCTCACACGAGGACAGCCCCACCTCGTTCTGCTTCTTGCTGCGCCAGCTCACTGCACCACCTCCAAAGAGGCACACATAGCCTCCAATGCTGGTGCCATCCGTCTTCACTGAGTTGAAGCTAGCGTCGGTGTAGCAAGTCAAGCGCATCTCCCCCTTGCTCAAATCAGCTGCACCCCTCTGTAGCCTCTGTCGCACAGCACTGTACTCCAAACCCACTGATGCCGTTGCACTCACATAGCGGACCAACCTCTTGGCCGCTTCCAGCTGCTCATGACTGGGGCGTGAAACCACACTGGCAAGCCTGGATGTTGCAAAGGCAATGTCAGGCCGTGTGTGGTTAGCCGCATAGTTGAGTGCCCCCACCATGGAGTGAAACAGCTTCCTGTCACTCTCTCCCACCACCTCCTCATCAGCACAGGGCTCTACGGTGAACCCTGAAGGCAGTGGGGTGGCTGGCTTCCCTCCATCTCGCAGCCCATACTTCTCGGCCAGCCCCTCACAATACTTCCTCTGGTGCAACCTCAACACTCCCTTGTCAAGGTCCCTCTCCACATGCATCCCCAGGTAGTACTTCACGTCTCCCATCTTGGAGCACTTGAACTGCATTTCCAGCATCTCCTCCACACGCTCAATCATTGCAGACGACTCAGAGAAGAGCAGTATGTCGTCCACATACACCAGGAGCATGAGAAACTGCTCTTTCTCTTGCAGCAGGAACAAGCTGTGATCGCACTCACTCTTCTTGAACCCCCCAGCCAGCAGTGTCTCCTCCAGTTTGTGGTACCATGCACGAGGAGCCTGCTTCAGGCCATAGATGGCCTTCTTCAGCCTGCACACCCTGCCGCTCCCATCATCCAACCCCTCAGGCTGCAGCATGTACAGCTCCTCCAGAATGACTCCATTGAGGAAGGCGGTGGTAATGTCCAGCTGCTTTACCCGCCATCCACGGTATGCGGCCATCGCCAAAGACACTCTCAGTGTTGTGCCTTTTCCCACAGGAGCATAGAGCTCATCAAAATCCTTCCCCTTCGTCTGCTGGAACCCCTTAGCGACAAGCCTTGACTTGTAGCGCGTCAGCTCCCCATCAGGTCCATACTTGTGCCTGAAGATCAGCTTCGAAGAGATTGCCTTCTTCCCAGGAGGCAGCTCACACAGCTCCCACGTCTCATTCTCCAGCAGTGAGTCGTACTCCTCCTTCACACTCTGCTTCCACTTCTCAGCATCGGGCCCACTCAAGGCCTCGGTAAGCGTCTTGGGCTCAGGGACGGCTGCCCAGTAGCAGTGCGCTATCTCCTCCTCATCACACTGCTCAGCCACACTCCCAGCCCGTACCACCTTCGGCTTCCCAAAGCTCGGATAGGTCAGCCGGTTAGGAGGGCGCACATCCCTCTTAGGACGGTCAGCCGTACGTGCGGCACCTCGTGGAGCATCTTGCTGCTGCTGCTGCGGCTGCTGCTGCTGCTGCTGCTGCTGCTGCTGCTCCACCACCTCGGGTTCTCCCCCATCCTCAGTCACCCCAGAGATCTCCTCCTCTGAGATGGCAACCTCCACTTGCCTCGAAGGCCGCTGCATCTCATCGGCCTCAACGATCAGCGGTGTCGTAGGAAGCTTCTGCTGCTGCTGCTTCCACTCCTTGTAGTACAAGGACTCCAGGAACTTCACGTCCCTTGACACAGTCAGCTGCTGGCTGGTCAAGTCCCATATGAGCCAGCCCTTGTGGTCCTTCGCAAGTCCCAAGTGCACACCCCATCTTCCAGAAGCTTCCAACTTTCCCCTCTTCTCCTTCGGCACATGAAACACCACCATGCAGCCGTAGGCTCTCAGCATGTTGACTGCTGGTGCACTCCCATACCACTTGGTGTAAGGCACCCACTGCTTGTCCCCCACAGTTGCGAGCACCCTGTTCTTCACCACAACGACCTGCCGTAGTGCAGTCACCCAAAACGGATCCGGCAGCCCTGCACGCCCAAGGAGAGTGCGAGCACCTTCCTGCAGGGTCCGGTTGAACCGCTCAGCCACGCCGTTCTGCTGAGGGTTGTAGGGCACCGTGAGCTGATGCTGGATCCCCTTCTTCTTCAGCACCGCCTCAAAAACAGCGCCAATGAACTCTCCCCCATTGTCGGTGCGGATCACCTTCACTTTGTGTCCGCTCTCCCTTTGTGCTCTCGGCATCCACTCCTTGAGAACAGCCGCTGCCACCTCCCCCTTAGTCTTGAGAGGGTAGACCCACACCGCACGTGTGTGGTCATCCACAATGGTTAGGAAATAGCGGCTGCCCGAGAGAGAAGGGGCCCTCGTGGGGCCCACCACGTCCATGTGCACAAGTGCAAGTGGAGCCTTCGCTGGTCCCGTGCTGCTGCTGAAGGGAAACTTCGTGAACTTGGTCTCAAGGCATGTAGGGCAGCTCCCAATCTCCCTTGCTGCCCCCTTCACCTCCAATCCCTTCAGGTTCCCATCCTTCACCAATTTCTGCAGCATCGGAATGTTGATGTGGCACAACCTCTCGTGCCACGTCTCCCAATCGGCCTCACCACTCCCAGAAGAAGTCTTTGCCCATGCAGCCGTTGCATCCACACCAGCAAGCACCTCACCATGTGATTGCTGTGGCTGCTGCACCTTCTTGACTGCATCCAGGGCCCCAGCAGTTGGTGCAGTCTCCTCTCCTCCCGCAGTTGCTTTAGCCGCTGCCGCTGCCTTTGCCGTTGCTGGAGGTTTCCCATTCCAAGGGATGATGGGCAGCTGCCACAGGTCCTTGATGCAGCTGCTCTTCTCCTCCAAATCCCACAGCAGCAACTTCCCAAGCTTTGCACGGCAGCTGGTTGGGCCGAACGTAACTTTGGCCTTGCTTTTATGCAGCCGGCGCACAGAGAGGAGGTTAGCGGATAAACCTTCAACCAACAGCACATTTCCCAGCCCCACAAGCCCCCCATTAGCTCCCATAACCTTGGCATTCCCAACACCAATCACAGGGAGCAAGGCACCTGAAGCGGCAGCCACAAACTTTATCTTCCCAGGGGGCTTCACCTCATCAAGCAAATCTGCCCGTGGAGTCATGTGACTTGTGCAACCTGAATCGATCACCCAGTGAGTGAGGGGGTGCATCACAACCTTCCCAACTGAACCCACATCACCCCCACTCCCTTGCACGTCCTCAACCATGAGGAACATACCAGGGTCGGCTTTACCTTGTGCACCATCACCTTGTGCACCTGAACCTTGCACAGCACCACCTCGTGCACGTTCACCACTTGGCGGCTTCATGCCTGGAGGCGCCCATCCTTCAGGCCGGCTGAAACACTTGAACCATGGGTGTCCAGCCTTCTTGCAGTACCAGCACGCACCCTCCATTCGGGTACTCCCCTTGCCACCAGAGCTCCCATGCCCCTCGTTGTAGTCACCTCGGCCTCTTCCTCTGCCAAAGCCTCTCCCACGGCCTCGGCCTCTCCCTCCCCCTCTTCCTCTGCTGCCTCCTGCAGCTCCATACCCCTCAGCAGTTTTGTTGGCAGCACCACCTCCCATGTGGCGCCTGCGGAAGTCCTCCTGCAGGATCTGCTGCCGTAGCCACTCAGGCGTCCACTTGTCCTGCTGAACGTTGAGGGTGGGGATGAGGTTGTCCCACGAGTTGTCGAGCACCGAGATGATCTTGGTGCACTGCTGCATCTCCGACACCTTGCTGCCCGCCGCTG